GAATTAAAATATTTTTTGACACTGAGCTAATGATTTCAGTCGATCAAATCCATCCACCCTGCTGCATATATGGTCACAGTTATAAACACCTTGCTCACAATACACCCAAAAATACCTAAAATCTTCCACCATTTAGTCATAGGTTCTATTCTTTCTTTACAGTATGCGTCATTCAGATAAACCGCAAAGTAGTGACCACGTACTCCAGAGTAATTATACTCACAATCTGTTGGTATTCGACTTATTTATTTGAGAAGCAGTAACCATTTTTATTACTGCAATTGTTATTCACTTGAATTCTCCTTATGTGTCACACAAGTGCCCACATCCAACTCGCCGTTTCTCTTTCGGGTTCCACTCGAATGATGGCCTGTCACACGAGATCACCCAACAGTCTCCTTAATGTGTGCCTGATCCATCTCTATTTTCTCCAGAATATTTCTTACATCATCAACAGATTCTTGATCAAATTACTGACGGACTAAATTGTGAATACTAAATAGTATGAATAAAAGAGATATAATGCGCAAGACATTTCTTTATTGAAACTTTCTCAGTACATTATTGATCAGAATCTTATTGTTCATTTTCCTCCTTTGAGACGTTCTCTTGCTTTGTCTCCGTCTTCCTCTTTTTGTCTTTGAAAACATAAGCTTCAGTTAAGAAGAAAGAAACAATGCAGTCTTATCAGACCGCCATATTTTATGCGTTTAGGTAAACAAAAAAAGTAGAAAAGGAATAAGAATTACACAAAGAAACCAGGCACACACTGTCAGAAAATTTATTCCTGACATCGGCAGTCACAGAAATCATCAGCAACAAAAGCAGCAGATTTGCCAAAGAAACTGTGATCATGAAAACATAGTTGGAAAGCTCAACTGCATGAAAAAGGTTTTATCTTTAAAACAAAGTTTCTTTACAACAACCAAGATACAGAACACTTTGTTTTTTTTTCATCTCCGCATTTCATTCCAAATGTGTAAACGCTTTTAGCGTAACACTCTCATGAAAGCCCAATTAAATACCCTTCATTATTGTCTTCGGTAGCTATAAAAGCATCACCATTGGAAACGAGCAAGTCAGAAAGCATGAATTGGGCACATAAGTCACCTATCTGTTACAGTTAACACCGCAGCATGATATTTTCAGTCTATCAAATTAGCTTTCTCAAACAGTTTCCTTATTTCAGATATATACATATAAATGCATATCATAGCATAGTTTAAGTCGCTAATATCAGTTTGCTAGTCACCTTGGAGATGAATATCAACAGACGCCTGAAACCCATAGGTGGTTTTATCACAAAAAATAATCTGACTTCAACTGGTTAATTCATTAGAATTTTACTCATGACTGCATATATAGTAAGCACAATATAGTAAATTAATGTTGTCATACTTAATACCCTAAATAACTGAGAAAGTTTACTTAAAGCCTAGAAAAAACAGTGTTAATAATAATAATATTGCCCAACTATTACAAAGTTCTGTCCTGTACACCACATTTATTTAGGAACATATTCTGAAGACAAGTGTGATTTTTTTCTGAGGGAATGTTTGCAGCTTAATGAGGTATTCATAGAAGCATTTAACCGTATCACAGTTGTTGCTTTTTTTACTTCACACATTCATACTACTTAGCTTCTTCTGCAAAAAGACTAAACACATTAGAAACAAGTGAAGTTTACAGTAATTAAAAATTAATTGTTTTCAATTCAGTATCACAAACCATTAGCCTAGATTCATGCCAATGCCTTATCAACTAAGTATTTAGTTACTTTAGTTTTCTATGAGTTCTCTTCTTGTATTGTCTGCTGCCAATTTGGCATTCATATTGTCCATAAGGATTTTGATGCTGCCATCTGGAATGTTGTCCATTACTACTTGTGGATATTTTGGTGTGGTTGTGTTCTCTGAGCTGGATGGTTTGGTTACGAAGCTTTCATTGCTCTACTGAGCAACATCTTCAGCGCATACTTCGATGTGAAGTGAGCTTTTAGAATTCTCTATGAGTTTATTAGTCATCTCTTCTAGTAACCCTGAATGTGATTGGTTGTTTTCGTGTGACATTTCACCCCCTAGTTTGCTTTTCTCGGTGCTGGCTGCTTCTTTGGTCTGAATGTCGTTAGTCATTCCTTCTGCTAACCTTGAACGTGATTGGTTGTTTTTTGTGTGACTTCTCACTTTCTAGTTCACTTGTTTTGGTGTTGACTGTTTCCTTGACCTGAAGTTTGACTTTGTTTTTGTGTGAATTTCTTCGTATGGATTAGTATATTTTGTCAATCTCTATGTGTCTATTGATTGCTGATTCATTTGAATACCAGGCCTCTAGGAATTCTCTGGCATTTTTGCAGTTCCCTTTGTCTAAGATTTGAACATTGTCCCAGTCGAATTGGTGCCCGTGGTTGTCTGCATGTAGTGATATGAGGGAGTGTATGTCGTGTCTTTTGACAGGTAGTTTGTGTTCGTGAATGCGAAGACGAAGAGGGCGTCCATTCTGTCCCTCCGGTCCTAGGGAAGAATAAGTTTGTTTTTATATTTTTTGTGTTTTGAAGTTTCTGTTGTGACTGGATTAATTCTCCAGGGTGAGGTCGCTAGCCCCGCGAGCAACCTTCCCTCTTTTCTCAGCCTTAGTCAGTCAGAAAACTAGCGAATTAGGTACATCGTTCTAAATACAGGAGAGGATACGGATGTCAAAACTAGAATTGTAAAGCCAAGACAGACCTTTACCATTCTGAAGTTAGTTTGAAAATCTGTTACATCCAGCATAAACAACAAAAATTGGATTTTCAATATTACTGTTAAGTCAGCCAGCAGTTCTATATGAGTCAGAAACTTGGCAAACGCGTCGATAAAACCATTTCCAACAAAGCACTGAGAAGACCAATGGCTGACATCATGCAGAATGCTATTGCTCGAGTGAAACCCTAATCGGACGCGACAAGTTCGGTGTAGGTTCGTGGATGATATGGAAGAGATCGTGTGACGATGTAGTGGAAGCATATGAGTGATCGTTGGGCCAGCTAAATAGGACTCTGCAGAACAGGATGAAATGAAGACGTGCTGATGAAGACTTATGTTTGACTCAGAATCCAGGAGAATAATACGTTTTCCATGAAAAAAGGGCTTCCATTAAGATATTTCCAACAACATAGAAAGCTATACATGCTCTGCCACTAGGTAAAAAATAAGCATTTTGGTAATCCCAAAGTTTAAAAGATTCACCACCGCCGAATATCTCATAAAAAGAAACAAGTAACGCTGGAATAATGGCATTGAAATCTGCAATAAATCCTCTTTGGTCACTTCAGGTGTAAACATTCTCTTGGAGGTGCATTCACTGAACAAAATCGGTTGATTAAGCCAAAATCTGTTGAGAAGACTAGGTCAGTAGGAGTTATACAGCGATATTTCTCTCACACACTGCATTGATTTATGAGTTCGTAGTGTAATAATTCTGCAGACTGACTAAATAAGGCAGTTCCTCGAATTCCACTCAGAAGTCTTGACTAGTGCGGTTCACAAAGTTAGGTGTGAGGACAGATAATCATCGATGACATTAGAATTCGGTAGTGCCATGCACCACGAATCGACAGAGAATGTTCCAGTGGCTGAGTAGTCGATGGATTCGTCTCGAAGTCTGAATTTCCTGGTTTTGATTCTGACTGGGGTCAAGGGTGAGCAGTGCTCAAATATCCCAGACGATGACAAAGCTGCTGTCTATTACTTTTTAGCTTCAGGTGATGTTTTAATGTTGTCGGTTCGAAATCTAAGCTGATATTATCAATCGTTAATAGTAATCATTATTTTCGATTAACTATTGGCAGATGTGTAAACCTCGAGCATTTTAGTAGTGCATAATTCCATATTAATTTGTCTATTAAACGGATCACACAGTGAAACAGCAAGATGTACTGGATAGTGCTTTCAGCAAAATTTATTACTTATAATTACTTAAACTGTAACTATACAGCTTCGAAACTTAAGTTTTATAATTTTCTTTATCTACTACCATTTGTCGTAGGGACAGTAAGTGTTTCCAGATGTCCAAGTGGACAGATGTTGAATCATTTCCATTGCACATATTTTCAGTTGATTCAATAAAGAGAGCTTCCGTTTTCAATCTGTTCCTTCACCCTGTTATATTAGATTTTGAGACTGTCAACTTATTTTATGAAAACAACACCAACAGCAAGGAATTTCATACAAAGAAGGAACCTCTGAAACCTTGCGAAAAATTCTTAACAATGCAGGAATTAAAAGTGACAGTCAAACCCAAAAACTCAATTAGAAACAAGCTTTGTCAATTAAAAGATCCTGTGGAGCCAATTAAACAAAACAATTTAGTTTATCTAATACCCTGCTTGCGATGATTGTCAGGACAAATACATAGGTCAAATAATTAGGACATGGTAAATCAGACTAGCCGAGCATAAAAACCTAGCAAAATCTAGATTGGTTGACCAGAATAAGATAAGAAATCTAGAGAATAGTTCAGCTATAGCACTTCATGCAGTTAAGCACAACTACACAATAGGATGGGATAGGCTGACATTTTTAAATTCTAATATCACAGGGTGGAGGGAGAGATTGATAACAGAAGCTTTGTGTATCGAATCAACTGCAAATACATGTTATAGGAATGATTCAACACCTGCTCCAGATATCTGGAAAATTCTACTATGGCTACAAGAAATGGAAACGAATAAAGAAAATTATAGAACGGAAGTTTAGAAGTTAGGACTAATTTGATTACTGAAAGTGAATTGTGCACGAAGCATCATCTAGTAAAAATAATACTGTTTCACTGTGTGATGCATTTAATAAACATATTTCGATATAGGATTAACCATGAGATTTAATAAACACAGTTATAATTTAAACGAACATTCAAAATGCGCGCTCTATTTTTGGCTTTAAATAAACAAGATCTCACAGAAGCAAACAAAACTAAGTATTATAAAAAAATGATATTTTTATTTACAATAAAACAAAAATATACGTACATATCATAAAAACTAGCAAAAAAATATTGTGTATATAATTAGTTGAAAATTTCGCGTTATACATTTAATCTCATCTAATCTTATCTTCTTCTAGTCTTCCCAATATTTGAATTGAGAACCCATTCAATACACATGCTAAACAATGACATCTTGATCTCCTGTCCATACACGACATTTATCAAATACATAAATTAAGCATAAACAAATTGTTGAAGCTGAAAATAATATAATTGGCCAAAATACTGCATGAAAAACGGCATTAAAGGTATAAAATTTATACAATAGGGCTTCATCTTCATGTGTTGCATGAACATAACACTTAAAGTGTCGTTGAAGACGTATACGTCGTTGAAATTGTTCTACCCATTCAGTATTATCCATATCACGATGATGACATGCACTGGTAGCACACTGAAATAGATGTATAAAACAAAAAGACAGAGAAATTACTGATTGTAAAACTAACTTCCAGTATTCTTTAGTTAAATGGTATAATGAAGCGAATAAAAACAATCATATCACATTAGACTGATTAAACTGTGTCATCCCCACTAATTGAAAGAATAGAGAAGATTTGTAGCTCAGGTAAATGATATGCAATTAGTTTTGTTCCCTGAGCTGGTTGGTTTAATTGTGGAGCTTTCGTCGTCCTTCTAGACAACATCTCCCTTCAACGCTAGTTTTAGCATAAAATGAACTGATTTAAACTCTCCATGAATGATAGAATTGTGTCTCCTGGTAACCATCTTCATGACTGGTAGTCGATTTACATCAATATGATCATGTTTTATGGACTTGGATTTCGAACTTTCTCGTCACATGATTTACTTTTTATAAGTTGGTAGATTTGGTTTATACTAACATGTTTGTTAATCGCATATTCTCTTGAGTATCAGGCTTCTAGGAATTCCCTGACAGTATTTTTGGTGTTTCCTCTATTTAAAATTTCGACATTATCCCAATCAAATTGATGTTCATAATTATCTACATGCATTGATCTGAAGGGTTTATATCATATCTTTTCACAGCTGATTTGTATTCCTGGATTCTTTTTCGAAGAAGACGCCCAATTTGGCTGACGTAATGTCTGTTACAGTTCATACAACATATTTTTGATTGGACACTAGTCAGTAACTAGTGTAATGTGTCTAGTCCTATCTTCGCTGCAGACTGAATTCTATCAGTCAAGCTTGCAATGTGGCCACCATGCTAAGTGGCTAACCATTACGGTGCAATGTGAATTGTTGGTATTAGACGGTTGGAGGCAATCGGCAGGAAGCCTTGGACTTGCGTTTCGTACTAGTTGGAACTCATCAGAAAGTTCAAAATCTAAGTCCATAAAGCATGATCAATACAAATGTAAATTGACTACCATTCATGAAGATGATTACCAGGAGACACAATTCTATCATTCATGGAGAGTTTAAATCAGTTCATTTTATGCTGAAACTAGCATTGAAGGGAGATGTTGTCTAGAAGGACGACGAAAGCTCCACAATTAAACCGACTAGCTGAGAGAACACCACTAATTTCAAATTCCCACTAACTGTTTGTATTCAATCTCACTTCGGAATATGCACATTAGATCATAGAGAATATTCAAAAGACGATTGCATTGTGGATAGTAAATGGGGGAGAAAATTCCAGAACTGCTTCCAGTTAAGGGTCAAATTATTCGGATTTCAAATAGGAATTAAAATTTAATGTTAACAAAGTAAATAGAAAGACCAGACTAAACACAGTAGGATCATAACTATTGAGAAAATTGACTATTTGTGCATTTAGGGAAAGAAAGACGTAAAAATAACAGAAGTAAACAGGATAGTCACTACTGAAGGAATCGACTTTTTATTTATAATCATGATAGAAACAAAAGCTGGACATATTTCTTTGGATAACAGATGACTTGATGTCACTCCCTTAGAGAGGTTTGATAGGATCTTGTATATGACTTTGAAGAAATTTGCAAATATAGCTGCATGACCTGAGTTCACCAGATATTCTATTCCCCAAATGTATACACACCTGCGTAATCTCTTTGGTAGATAAGATGGATAAAGTTCCTGAGCACCCGTTCGGTCAGTTTTGCATAGCTGAACTACTAGCTATTCAAACATTCAGGCCAGCACTACATATCCAAAAGAGATACTTTCAACCGTTGTTTCTACCATGGCCATTATAAACAGTTGATTCTCTCAATAGTGATACTTCTATTACCTGTCTTATTCGAACTTCATGTCTTTTTTGCTATCTTTATGTATTCAATCCCTATTTCGCACAAAATAGTCAATTTTATCAGTAATTAGGATCCTACTATGTTTTCTTTCTGATCTTTCTGTTTATTTTGTTACTATTACATTTTAATTCCTATTTGAAATCTTGTTAATTTGATCCTTGACCGTAAATGGCTCTGATCCAATCTTATCTTCTGGGAGAGGAGAAACAATTAATGAACGGTTAAAAAAGTAATGAGTGACACAGCCTTTTGATTTCAACAAAACAGTAACACACGTTTTGTTTTTGATATAGTTATGTCCCCTGAGCTGGATGAATTAGTTGCAAAATTTTCATCATACCTCTAGACAACATCTTCAGTGCTCCATTAGTGGCATAAATATCTCTCCTGATGACGTTGGCTATGAATGCTTTCCATCTACAGGTTTTGTTATCCTTGTGTCTTTTCGTTAACCTGCAATTCCACCTTTTCGCACTTCGTGCCACGCTAACTGTTCTTTATCTGTTGGTAAATTTGATCTATATCAATGCATCTATTGAATTAAGATTGATTTGAGTACCAATCAGGTTTCCAGGAATTTTTCGACATTTCTAGTATTTTATATGTTTCGGATTTTCACATTTTCCCAGTCAAATTGGTGATTATAGTTGTCTACATGTATTTATATGAAAGAATACACGTCGTGCGTTTTCATGGCTAGTTCCTTGAGGTGATCCATGATATTGCTTTCCATAACTGATTGAATTCATTTTGTAGATAGTGTGTTGTTTCTATCTCCATTTTCTTTGATTGCGTTGGTTCATGTGCACTGTCTATTCCGAAATGTTTCAGTATTCTAGCCATTACTTTATTCTGCACACGTAGAAGGGGGAATTTTCTCAGAAATTTCTGAGGATGGTTTCTTACTGGTAGTTTGACTCCAGTTTAGACAGTTTTTGACAAAACTCTAAGGGCATCTCTTTTTCTCTGTCAACTGTCAGTAAATATTTCTCTACTCTTTTCTTCAATACTGCATTTTCGCAATATGTCTCAGCTCTCTGAAAGGGTGTTTGCATACGGTTTGTTTTGTCATTCAAACCTTGAACTGCCTTTAGGAATTGCTTGATATGTGATTCTGGCTGACATAGTTTTGATCACACATTGTTAAGAGTATTCTTCCTGGTTCTCAGTGACTTATAGTTGAATTTTTGCTAACAAATTTTGTTGTACAGTACTTGTTTTGCACTTAAAAAATCCTTGACTTGTACAGCCGCCTAACCGCACTGCTTGGGTAATTTTGCTTCTTGATAAATTATGGTTGTTAAGATGTACCACAGCTTTTATTGCAAATAACAGTCTTTTTACTGTCGTTAGAGCATTTTGTGACTGTGAGTAACTGCAGGAAGCTTTGTTCAGCTATACAACAACTCAAACATCACTTTTTTAATAATAACAATACGAGCGTTACTCTTGATATAAATATGAAATTTTCAGCATATACTAGAGTACTGTGTCTAACTTTCTCACTACAGGGGTAGTAATTAAATAACAAGGCATTTACACTGATAATGTTGTTCAGCAAGAATGTGAATATAAAATCAAGTGAAAATATTGACAACAATCGGACAATGAATAAAAATAGGTCTGTCAACTTAGAGTTCTGCAGTAGGTTGATAACGTCTCGCCTTACATTTTTCTCATCACATAAAATGTGTGCTAAGTAAGGCATTGTAAAGTTTTGTACTCAGTTGGCAGAGAATACACTCTTCTATACTTGCTTCTAGCTCTACGTGAGATAGGTGCAACGGGAGAGTTGTGGATAGAGATGATGATCAGTGTCGGACCAGATAATGTTCGTTACTTTCTTGCATGAGTCCATGTGTCTATCTACGACAGTATTAACGAGTTGTTTTAGTGACGCCAAACTCGCCGTACTGATAAGTCTTAGTGCCCTTCACAGTTTAAAGAATTCTTTCTTAGGTAGCCCAGGAGAGAGTGAAGTGGGAGGAGAAGTAAAGAAGTATAGTTAGAATACAAGAATCAGCGATGTTAGAAAGCAGAGGCAGAAGCATACCAGTTCTCTCTAACTTCCTTGCATAGAATGTTAAACGGAATATCTTTCTGCAAACCAACATGATGTGTGAAAACGAAGAAAGATTAGGTGAAGTACACACTCCAAGATTTTTAACATTCGATTTAGTTCCGACTTCTGTGGCATCTATGATACTGGTACCATGTGAACTAACCAGTTCATGTAAGTCGCAATTGCGTCTGGAAGTGAAATTAACCACCTGATATTTGCAGGGATTCAGCTTAGGACAATTTGGCAAGGTTTTCTATGTTCAGACTACAACAAGACAGTTTTGATCGTTATAAGTTTCTAGTCTTTGAAATGCACATATTTGATACCGCTGGTAAACAGTTGGAATTTAGTCACCGAAAAAACCTACATCTCTATGTCAGCTAGTCAGAAAATTTCCTTCTAAACCTACTATTTATTGATCGGAATAAACACAAGAGGAAACTTTACTAGCTAGAATTACTATTATTACTTACATTTATTAAACCAAAACCAGTTTGTCTACTAAGTATTTAAAATTCTGTGCGGCAATTTTGACTGCAGAGATTTGTCGTAAAAAGTTTCTATTTGTTATGAATATTTAGACGTTATAATTTTCTATAGGGATTATTTTATATTATTCATTCTGACGAAATCCCGATTATTCTAAAGGTTAGGGAATAATTTATATTGTTTTTCGTACACCAATACGCTTTTTTTTGCAATGCGATAAAGCGGAAACGAAGTGACAGTAGAGTAACGATTGTGAAATGTGATTTAGTGATCACTAAAACAATTATGCATCTGGTTAGATTTGTTAGACAAAGATTGATTTCTAGATGGATATTCTATTACAGTGAGCAGACATTACAGGAAGAGAACACATGATACGTCGAGAGGCGCTTGCTCGACGAAATGAATGAGAACATTCACCTCTCTGCAGAAATCCGCACATTTGATGATTTGATGACTGGAGATAGCCTGTACAAGTACAAGGACACATGGAAACGACGTGAGTCTCATCGAATGGTCACAATGAATTTTAGATAAACTTCATCTCAATCCGAAGAGTACGAAGAAGCAGTGTACTGGAGACAAGATCAAGAGGGGGAGCAGGTGTAGCTAAGATCACTGTCT